TATATATATATATATATTTATTTATTTATTTATTTTTTTCATTTATAAATTTTTGATGAGAAATTAGGGCGAAGAAAAATAAAAAATCGACACAAATCCAAAAGAACACAAAGAGATTTAACAAGTTTCGCAAAGATGCTTACGTCCTCAGGAGCAGAGCGGCGACTTTCTTTCAATTTCAGAAAAGAGTAGAGAATATTGAATATCGACTTATGGTTACAAACAAGTCTATTTATAGTAATAGAGTAAACCTTGAGTACAATATGTAATTACAAAATTACCCTTGTACCGTACCTCGCCCCCGCACCTCCATCCCACATAACGTAACTTCCCTGATTGGACAGATGCTTCAACTCCGCTGGCTCGCTCTGTTCCGCTCTAGCATCTGTCCCTTATCTACTATACGAGTCATTCCTAACAAATTTTAATACTAAAATATTATAGATATAGATAATAAATTTTACTTTTTAGATATATAAATTCTTAAGACTTATTGGATCAATCAATGTAATTTTTTTTACAGACTTACATAACAATTACTCAAAATTTTAAATGTAATTTTTTGATGACCTAAACTTAATATTTTATATTTTAACCACTTAAAATTTATATTTCTTTTTGAGTGGTCAATCTCTTACATTTAAAGTTTTCGGGTGATTTTTGGGTAGTTTAAATATAAATTTTTAGATTTGATTGGCCAATCTATTAAATTTAAAATTTTGAGTGGATGGAACGTAAAAAACTCCATTTTTTTTCATTTATTTACATTATTTATTTAGAATGAACTGCAGCAGAGTATATACATTTTTTTTTAGCATTCCCTACCTATGCATATCTAGAGCTTTCAAAATAGCTTTGTTTGTGAGCAGCTCGTGTTTGACTCGCTAAGCAAATAAGTCAAACACAAATAATTTTTCACGCTCGATATATAAACGAGCCGAAGAAGAACAATAATATTTTCTTAATTAGGCGAACATGAGTCGAGCCTGAGCTTGCCTTGTTTACACCCTCATGCAAAAAAATGTTTATGCCGTGCTGCAGCACAATTTAAACAAAACATTATCTCTAATAAAATTAAAATAAATATTTTTGATACAATTAAATTTATACGTCTTCCCTTCGCTTTCAGCTCTCACCCACACCTACATTCTCTCCCAAGTTTTCTGCATAATGACTTCACAAGATTCTTCTCTAGAATAGATAGGCCGACAAGCTAATATTTTTCCTAGTGTTTCTATTATTATTATTATTATTTTAAATAATAAAAAATAGTATTAAGATTTTTCTTAACCGTTGTGAGAAAATATTTGCTCATTTAACCAAACCAATCTGTTGAAGTCGTGAACTGAGCACATCAGTAAAAATAGTTGAACTAAGCCTACATGCCATGACTAAATTCATCATTTATAAAAAGGTGAAGTAGCCTACTAGCAGGGGACAACCAGTGTTGGCATTCAACATGACTTGCAAGGATACATCTCAATTTTTTTTTAATAACAAAATCAGTCATCATGATTGTTAAAGATAGTTGTCAATTATCGTTTAAAAACGTCACCCAACAGTGATATCTCGGCCTTCTAATCAAGTTGAAAGAGATGGGTGCAGTACAAACATTGTCTGACGCTCACATTACAGATTTTCTCATTATAATCCAATGGATAGGTACCACCTTGTACGGAATATCTTTTTTACTTTTTCGGAAAATCAAGGGAAATGAGAAGAACCTCTCTCTCTCTCTCTCTCTCTCTGTGTGTGTGTGATGGAATTTTTTTTTCTCCCTTCAAGGAAATCAAGGGAGAGGAGATGGGCCTCTCTATCTCTCTCTATGACACACACACACACACACACACGAATCTGAAATATAATATATAATTTTTCATATTTATATGCATAACATTCAATTCTTTGATATAACCTAAGAAAATCACCATTATTAATTTTAAAAATAAAATCATTGGGTATTCAAAAATTCTCAACAACAGATAAATATTAAGCCTTAACTCCTTGATTTTTCAACATATGAATGCAAGAGACAATAAATTTTTTTTCATGAAATCCAAAAAAAAATGAAAAACTCATAGGGAATAAACTTAGTCAAAAGAAGTCACTAAAAGATTGAAAATATAGAAGTCAATTCTTCTCATGAATTAGGGAACGATAGTATAAGAATTGATAATCATTATTATATAATATTTTGATTACAACAATTATAATTGTGCTGCAGCAACTATGATTAGTAGCTACAACAGTCGTAGTTGGTGGTTATAATAGTCATAGCTGACTATCAAAGCCATAAATTTTTACTACAATAATAGTGATTGATTGCAACAATTACTTGTGGTGGTTGGCAATAATCGAAAGTTGTCAGTTCCCTTATTTTCATGAGTTAGTTAACATCTTATTCTTCTATTTTCCTCCCACGCAATAAAAAAGAAGGGTTTATTTATAATTTTTGATTTAGTTAGGAGAGATTTACATAACTACACATAAATATGAGCATACTGAACCAACCCGTCAAAGTGATTGAACTGAGCCCCTTAGTCAAAATAGTTGAACTAGGCCCATCTACCATAAAAGAGGCTAACAGGGGACAACCATTGTAGGTGTAGGCATTCATCATGACTTGCAATGATGCATCTCAATTCTTTTTTAATTACAAAATATGTCATCATGACTGTTTAGGATAGTTGTCAATTATTGTTTAAGGACGTCACCTGACACTAATATCTCGGCATAAGTTGAAAGAGACGAGTGTCGTACCAACACTGTTTGACACTCACATTACAGATTTTCTCATTATTTTCTAATGGGTGGGTACCTTCTTGTATGGAATAAATTTTTATTTTTTCTCCTTTCAATATAAAAGGGAAATCAAGGGAAAGAAGAAGAGTCTCTCTCTCTCTCTCTCTCTCTCTCTCTCTCTGAGAATATATTTCACACACACATAGAAGTCTAGAATCTCAGTTACTTATTCGATACATCTATATATATAGTTCTCTCTTTCCTTTATTTTTGTTTCATAACGTAAGATCTTCACAAAATTAATTATACTAACAAACGATATGAAACCCTACATCCTAAAAAAATTCAACAATATACATAAATTCTACACAATTCTTATATATCTACAAATTTAATGTCTAAACTTTCATATTAATAAGCATAACATTCAAATATTTCACATAACATAAGAAAATCACTATTATTAATTTTAAAAATAAAACTATTATGTACTAGAAAATTCTCAACAATATAGAAAAATTAAGTATTGGCTCAATATATTTTTTCAGCATATGAATGTAAGAAACAATAATATTTTTTTTTCATGAGAAATCTCAGGAAAAATGAAAAACTACATTCGTGGTTGGTGGTTATAATAGCCATAGCTGACTATCGAAGGCATTGTTTTTTACTAAAATAGTTGTAATTGATTGCAACAATACTAGTGGGGGTCAACAACAATTGCAGGTCATTCATGTCACTTCTTTTCACGAGTTATGCTTTAGTTATCAACTTGTTCTTCTAATTTCCTCCCACACAGTAAAACAATAAGGGATTATTTATAGATTTTTATTTAGTCAAGAGACATTTAAGATAAAAATAAAGATCAAAACTTTCAATTAGAAAAAAAAAACAAAAATCAGTTTGAATTCAAATCACAAGATGAGTTTTAAGGGAATTTTGAAAAAAAAATTAATTTGATTAGAAAATTACAAATGATGACATATATATTTATAATTTCCAAATCTTATTTTGACTTAAAAAAATGACAATTTGAATTTGTTGACAATTTAATTCCAACTCTACAATTCCCATTTGGCAAAACAATAGATTAATTACTTAAAAAATGAAAAGAGGTTAGGCGTGCCATTTTGGAATTTAGCATCTAATTATGACCTTCATAATTAATTAACCAATTATAAAAATATAATTATCTTAATCTAATTAAATATAATTAGAGCTTTTAGAGTTGTAGGGCAATTATGCTAATGACATCAACTACATATATACAATTAATCAATATAGAGTTGGTCCGACTCATTAAATAATAATTCGATAATTTCAAGAGTAATTAATACTATATCTAAATGTCTTATTATTAATTAGTTAATATGTTAAATTAAAAATAGAGACCACATGCCCATAAAGTTTGATTAAGCAAATGAGGCATTGAACAGCCCATGGATTTAATTTAAGAAGCTGCAGCGTTGACCTCCTCAATTTCCTTTTTTTATTTTTTTGAGTTGACCTTCTGAGTCGTGGCAATTGTTGATATTAGATTTAAAGGCTATAATTTTTTTTTTATGGTTAAAATAAAATTAAAATCTTTTATTTAGTTTATGGTGAATAATTATTTTAATTTATGTTATGCACCTTTTTAAATAAATATAAAGGTTCATAAAAATATTATAATTAAGGTTTTTTCTTCTTCTTTTAATATGTATTTAAATAAATATTTAATTCGTGCAAAATATATTTATTTTTTCCCTGCCTAAATTTAATGTGTTCCATTCTTCAGGCTTCTTTCATGAGCGCGTTTGCCTGTAGAGCGGTCAGCCGAGCCGTCGCGAAACATGACTATTGAAGAAATTCAAAATAAAATTTTAATATGAATTATATAAGAAAAATTTACATACAAACCATTCAATTCCTAATTATTTACATATCTAATTGAACTATCCAAAGTAAATAGATAAATATATAAATAAATACCAATTGTATTTATTTATTTATTTTGTAAAATCATTTAGGGACTGAAATAATGTTATCATGATGCATGACTAATTCTTATATTTTATAAAACAATCTGCCCACCCATTCAATTTGCTTTTCAAATAAAACATAACAAAATTTCTTCTGAAACCATCGATGACAAATCACGCACAATCTCCACAAAATGGCTCCTCATCATCATCTTCCCCAATCCACCAAACCAACCCCTTCCCCTTCCCCTCCCCCTTTCAGAGAAAAACCAGACCCCAAACAAAAGCTCTCTCATTTCCGCATCACCCTCCTCGTCCTCCTCTGCTTCGCCACCGCTTCCTACCTCAAGCTCTCATCTTTCTCCCCTTCCTCAACTCCTTCCATCACCTTCTCTAACACCTCTCTGACCCATTCCAATTCCACAACCTCAATCTCACCTCCGCCGCCGGAGCCGCCGTCGGCGGCGGCCCCACCACTCCTTCATCAACTTCGGCCCCACCATCTCCAACTCCACCACCAATCTCCTCTGCTGCGACCGCTCCCATTTCCGCACCGACGTCTGCTACATGCTCGGAGACATCCGTACTGGCGGCGGCGGCCGATCCATCCTTCTCGTCAGCCCTTCACAGAACAACAAAACAGAGGAAAGGATCAGACCTTACACACGTAAATGGGAAAAGGGGATCATGAACACCGTCGGCGAGCTCGCTCTCCGGCCATCGCTGCCAGCGGCCGCCAAAATCTGTGACGTGAAGCATAAAGCTCCGGCGGTAGTTTTCTCAACGGCAGGATATACGGGGAACGTTTTTCACGAGTTTAACGATGGGCTGATTCCGTTATATATAACGGCGGCGAGGTTCTCCGGCGAGGTGGTTTTGGTGGTCTCGGAGTATCATGAGTGGTGGTTTAGCAAGTACGAGATGATTTTGGAGAAGATGAGTCGATATGAGATTGTGGATTTGAGAAGGGACAGGAGGGTTCATTGCTTTGATGAGATGATTGTTGGATTGAAGATTCATGGGGATCTTGCTATTGATTCAAATCTCATGCACGAGGGTAAGTTGATTTTCATTCTTTTATTATTATTTTTTAATTTATGATTTTTTTTATAAATTCAAACATTGGTAGAATTATGTATTTGCGTGCGCGCTCGTGTGTGTGCGCGTGTCAATATTTTTTGTGATTATTTATATGAGATAATTTTAGTCATAATATTTATGGAAGTGTCGAAATAATTGTAAATTCTTTTACAATTGAGTTCTAATAGTCCTTCATCAAGATTATTTTAGTCCCAATTTAAAGAATTTATGGATTATTTTGATACTTCTATAAACTCTATGACTAGAATGACCAAATGTAAATAATTAGAGATAATTTTGACACTTTATTGTATATATATATATAATGAAAATGAGATAGGAATTGAATTGAGGCTATTTTTCAAATCATCTCTTTAGGTGACAAGAAATTGGGTGAATAATATTTAATTTTTTATTAGGATTAGGAGGGACAAAGTCTAATTTATTTTATTAGATTAGATAAGTGATTATCAATTAATGGGAGATTTTATATTTTATATGTGAAGTTAATAAAATCCGACAAGAAATAAAAATGTTAGAAGTAAACTATATTGTATATTACGTCGCATTCTTCTAACCACTCAGCAAAATAATATCACATTAGGTTGGATGTATATCGGTGCGAACATGTGTAATATGATTAATACATATCACTTTTAATTTGATTTAAAATAAAAATTAATCCTATATACGTTGGTTATCATGTTTTATTTATTTATTTATTTATTTTCAATAGTAGAAAATAAAATATATTTATTTAAATTTTTAAAGTGACGACTTGTTCAAATTGATTAGTTTTTGGATGCCAGAGAGAAACCAGAGGCGTCCACGGAACAAACTTGACCAAACAAATGCTTAGTTATTATATGGGGATGAAACAATTAGTACTCATACATATGTATAAAGGAATAATTTCTTAAAAAATGATTTGATGTGAGAATTTTGTGCAATTGATTGTGTTTATTGAAATTTGGTGAATCTCTTGGGCGCATAATTGCCAGTAGCTCGGGATTGTGGCACTTAGGCGCTGCTATCGAGACACCTAGGCACCACCCTGACTATTTTTAGAAGTGATTGGCGCCTACGCGCCCTGATCGTAGATATTCCCTAGATATTTAGGATTGAATTCTCCCATGGATAGGAGACCCGAAATCAACATGGGAGAGTCGATTGACCCTCTTGGGTTTGGGCTGGTTCAGTTCAGATGGTAGAATCGGGAGATAGGGCTCCCACTACTCTTTATGCTCGTGCACTGTAGCATAAGTCAAGCGATTCATAAAAATAAAAAAGTCATTACTCGAAGGCTGAGATGATGAAATTTGACACAAAAGTGTCTCCTCTCTCATATATTAGAACTCTTTCAATAGGGGCACCCCATAAAGGAGTTTATCTATTTGAAAAGGCTGAATTTCTCTTATTTGGGGTTGTCATCTGGGTTGCCAGGTGAGTTAGAATAAAATCTAGCTTTATTTATTCCTTGAATGCCCCACTGTGCAACACATTTTGTGTTGTTTGACAAAATTATGTTCGTTTGTCTTTTCAAAAAATTGTGATAGTAAAATGTATTTTGCAATCTCTTATAAACTTCATAACTATTTCTTCAAACAATAATTTTTTGGAACATACCTGTAGAGAAATTGACTTTTTTTAAATATAAAAAAAAAATGGCACAAAAAATTATAATAAAATTGTATGACAAAAGGAATTTGAAGGCCCATGAATATGTTTGTAAGAAGTGCAATACTATTTTTCGATTGATCTTTCATATATTTTTTACAATTATCATAAAATTTATTATTTTAAATTATCTCTCCATCAAAATTTAATCATAATTTTTTATTATTATTTTATTAGCAATAAAGCCGGTTCGTGCCAATCTGCATTAGACGACGATAGTGATGGGAAGAGATGCTTTACTTTGATCACATTTATCATATCTCATTACCACTATAAATAATGAAAATAATATTATCCTCAAATTGAGGAGAAAAATTTACATACGTGAACGTTTGTAAAACTGTGTACATCGGAGGTTATTCAGAGGGTATTGAAGGGTTATATCCCTATTATACCTCATCTGTAACATCTCTGTAACTTACCTATATTCACCCAATACCCTCCAAATATCCTCTGATGTACGTAACTCTGCAAATGTTTTAAGTACGCAAATTGTTCTCCAAATTCATAGGACAATTTATTAATTTAAAACATCATTTGGTACACTTGTAATTGCACATGAATTGTGTGGGGTTATAATTGTAAATGACAGTATTTTCCATATTTACCAAATTATCTCATTATTTCATTGATAAATAATTAACAGGCAAAAGCATCCACGACTTCCAATCCCTCCTCACCGCCGCACTCGCCCCCACTGCCCACAAACCGTCGCCGGAGCCGCCGCTCTCAGCCGCCCGCTTCAAACTCACGATCATCGTCCGCCACCACTCCCGCCGCCTTCTGAACCTCCAATCAATCCTCCACCTCCTCCACCACTCCGGCTTCCAGACCACCCTCCTCTCCCCCAAACGCTCCACCCCTCTCTCCGACATCCACCGCTCCCTGACCGCCGCCGACGCACTCCTCTCCGTTCACGGCGCCGCCCTCACCCACCTCCTATTCATGCGCCCCGGCTCGGTTCTCATCCAGATCATCCCCCTCGGCTTGGACTGGGCCGCCGAGACATATTACGGCGAGCCGGCACGGCGGCTAGGGTTACGGTACCTGGCTTATAATGTGACGGCGGGGGAGAGCTCGTTGTCGAAGGAGTACGGGAAGGATGATCCGGTTCTGGTAAACCCTAATTTTGTGACGAAGAAAGGGTGGGCGGAGACGAAGAGGGTTTATATGGACAAGCAAGATGTGGATTTGGATTTACAGAGGTTTGGGAAAGTAGTTCGCCGGGCGAAGGCAATTCTTAAGGACAAATTATTAAGATCTCATAAAAATATTTAATTTCTTTTTTTAATTTTTAGATATTTTTTCAAATGTTTATATATTTAATGTGTAATTTATGAAAGAATTTTTATTTTTTTGAAATATAATGTTAAAATTAATATTAAATAATAATAGAGAAAATTCATATAATATGATAGGAGGGTTCACAAAGAGTGAAGCATACATAACTTGGATATAAAAAATAACAATAGATCAATCAAGGCATGAGTGATTAGGTCATATCTACATAAGGCACTCAATGCCTTCTCCAATCCTATTAAATTCCAAGATCTTTAAGTTATTAGACCCCCCAACAACTACTAGCCCATGTTTCATTAAAATAATGTGAAGTAGGCTCAACTTCCTTGAAATGTTGCACCTAATGTGCTCAACCGCTTGGGTGAATTATTTTTCTCCATATATTGATTTCAATGATGGAATTAATTTCACAATTTTTTATTTTAAAAAATTAAAAAAATTGAAAAAAATATAATTATTTATTTAAGTTTTTTAAAAGAGCATAGTCGTTTCATCTAGACAGGCTTTCTAATATTTAAATAATGAGTTGGTCGTAGATGTCTAAAAAGGCATTAATTTTGAGAACTCTAGTAAATTACTTTTGGGGAAAAAAAATTTAAAAAATAGCTCATTTGGAAGGACATCCCGCATGTCCGAACGGCAAACCATCAGAGGCCACATCGCCATACACGTCATCTGCGGCCGACGTGACCTCCGGTGGTTGGCCGTTCGGATATGTGAACTTCCCGACGAAATATTTTTTTATATTCAATAAATGACGTGCGTACATGCACACCACCCAATTCTTATGTAATTACATATCAGAACATACAAACTTCACTTTTTGTATGTTTATGCCGTCAAAATTTTTCATATCACAGCAAACATACCACCAATTTTAAGTTTTAATTGTAATAAAAGTGAAATACAACTTCTAACGTATAGATAAGATGACATATATATGAAAATTACAGTTTTAATGTATAGATAAGAGGGGGCTTATTTATAAAAACTAAAATTTAGGTGTTGGTTATGTAAGTATATGAAAGTTTCTGAGTGCTGTGCATGTAAATCATTTTTATTACATTGTTTGGAAGATGGGTTATATAAACGTTTCTCCTGACTGCAACAAAGGGAGAAGAAGCCTATCTGTATCATTCAGTGGTGGAATTTGTTTTCTTTTCAGAAATTGGATCATTTTTTTATTACATAAAAACAATTAAAATTACTCTTAAATTGGTAATGATAATAATCCAGTTTCATGGAAGAAACAGAACAAAATGATAGATTGATGCCAACCCAATTCATGAATCATGGCTGTACCTCTCATCATTCTCCAAGCGTCCCCAATATATCATCTTCCGGAAAAAAGGTGGAACCTGATAAGAAATCATAAAACCAGACATAAACCAATGATATGCAACTCAGATTGATTCAATGATTATATTTTAAAAATGTCTTTTTTTTATGTTTCTTTGTTTGTTTGAACAGTATACTTTTTTTTTTTTTTTTTTTGGGAAATTTACATGCTTGAGAAATTAGGGCGAAAAAAAACAGGAATCAACACAAATCCAAAAGAACACGCCGAGATTTACGAGGTTCGGCAAAGATGCGCACGTTCTCGGGAGCAGAGCGGTGACTTCATTTTCAATATTTAGAAAAGAGTACAAAATACAAGATTCAGAATCTCTGAAAGTCTCCTAGGGTTACAAACATGATATATATATAACCCTATAGTACAATATGTAATTACTTAAATTACTCTTGTATCAAATCGTGGGGTGTCGCCCCTGCACCCCAAACCCACATAATGAAACTCCCCCGATTGGACAAATTCTTCCGTTCTACTCTGTTCGTGGGCTCTGCTTCGCTCCAACATTAGTCTCATTTATGGTATATGAGCCATACCTAACAAATCTCCACCTTGGCGAATATTCAGCATCTTAGGAGAAATATATCATGTAGTTTCTTATTAGTTTCTTATGCACGTTTCTTATGCACAAATGTGGGTTGGGCCACCATGTTGTCTAACAATTATAAATATTCAACAAGTTCAAGCAATGCAAGAATTTGTTGATAGTACCTGGTTTGGTCAACATATCTGCTGCATTTTCATCGTATGGTCCAACATAGTAAACTCCACCTACAACTGTACTCCCCAACAATTTATAAATACTAACTGCATTTAACTTTCCTTTCATCATAGTCAATGCACCTTTAACAATTCAGATGATTTCTCTATCATAATCTGTCTTAAGAATAAAACAATTTCTATGTAAAGTGCCCAAAGAAATTAAATGATTCTTCAGATCTGGAATATGTCTAACCTCACATAATGCTCTAACACTGTCATTATACATCTTAATTCTGACTTCCCCGATACCAACAATATTACAGCATCTATCACCACCTAAGTAAACTGAGCTAGAATTAATAACCTGTATGAAGTAAACCAATTCCTATTAGGGGATATGTGATAAGAGCATCCTGGATCAAGAATTCATGTATTCATGAACTAAGTTGATGAAACTGAAAGCATATCACCATCACTGCAATCTGAATTGTCACTCTGCACCATATTTACAGACTTGAATGATGCAATGATGCATCACCTTTCTCCCTGCATCACCTTTCTCCCCGGTCTGTTTCTTAAGTTTTGGACAATCTATCTTCATATGACTTGGCTCCTTGTACTTGTAGCAATGAATCGTCTTGTTGCCTTTGGAATTTCGCCTTACAGAGCTCTCCTTCTCCTCCTTCTTTCCTCGATCCTGATTACCCTTAACATATAAATTATCTTCATAAGAGTTTTCCTCTGCATTCTGCTTTCGCTGGTTGTGAGCCAACAATGCCGCAATAATCTCATCAACTTTGATAGTTTCTTTCGCATATGTCAGAGTAGTCATCAGGTGTTCATATGAAGAAAGCAAAAAACACAACAGAATCATTGCTCGATTTTCATCCTCAATACTCACATCAAGTCTTGATAAATTCGTGATTATTTGATTGAATTCATTCACATTCGTCAGATCAGAACCTTCTTGCATTTTCAGCCCATAAAACTTTTGCTTCAAATATAATTTATTCGTCAGAGATTTGAACATAAACTGAGTTTCCAATTTATTTCATACCTCCCCATTAAGATTTCAGATTCATCACGTGATACATAATCTCATCTTTCAGGCATAGGCGTATGGTTGCTGCTGCTCGTTGTTGCAATTCTTTCTAATCTTCATCCTCCATGACATTTGATTTTACTGCCTACAAAGCTTTCAAGATTCTCTGTTGAGCCAACAAATATTTCACCCTTGTTTGCCACAATTTGAAGTTACTAGTTCTATCGAACTTTACCACCTCGACCTTTGTATCAGAAATTATCATCTGAAATTGATCCTGCAACGAACTCATATGCAAATTCCTTTACTGAATTTTCAAATTGTTTGAGCCAGAAATTGTACTCTCTTTGATCCTGTCACAAATTTTTTTAAATAATCTCTTAATTAAAATTCTCTTAATTAAGTTTTCAAGAAAAAAGATTTTCTTTAAATAAATTTTTCTTGATTAAACTTTCCCAGAAATCATTTTTCTTAAACTTCCAAGAAAAGCTCTGCCTCCGCTTTTCAGAAAAACTTCTTTTAGCTTCTAGAAAAGCTATGTTTTCATTCTCAGAAAAGCTATGTTTTCTCTTTCATTCCAAAAAGAAATCTTTCGTTTCTCGAGTGCAGCAGCAGATTCCCTTTCCTTGCCTTTCCTGAGTCATGGAATATCTCTGCGCTAAATTTCATTTTCTGCGGACTTTCCTTTTCCGGGTGAATTTCTTTTTCCCGCGTCCCCTTCCAAAGGAAATCGGAGGAGCCTCCAGCCAAACAAAGCAAAATGGCGTGATTCCCGCCTCTAGCAAAAGAAACTGATCTTCCGCACAGGCTAGGAAGGGAAAGCAACAACTAGCGAATCAGGCTTCCAATCTCGCCGAACCTTCCTTTCGCGCACCGAAGCTCCGCAAAGGAATTCCCTCTACTCGAAATCGCATGCAATCCTTTCCACGCCTCACGCGAACCTTCCTTTCCCGCTCCATGGAAGCGTCGAACTCTCCTCTTTCCTGGTCTGTCCACCCAGCAGCCTTCCGCACCGAACCGATCGCAATTGCGACTTCCCTGCCCCTCGCTAAAAGCTTCTTCTTGCAGCGAGAAGTCAATTCGTCCAAAATCCGTTGCTTGGTACAATCTGTCGCGAACTCTTCTTTGTCGAACTCCTCTGCACCGAATAGAACGCCCAAGCCGTTGAATTCGTCGGCTAAAATCTTCTTTGCTCCCGTGCCGCCGAAATTTTCTTTTCTGCCGTAGAACCTCGCTATGATACCACTTGTTGATAAATTATGGTGAAGAAAAACAAGAATAAACACAAATCCAGAAGAACACACAGAGATTTACGAGGTTCAGCAAGGATGCCTACATCATCGGGAGCAGAGAGGCGACTTCCTTTTCAATTTCAGAAAAGAGTAAAGAGAACAATATTCAGAATCTCAGAGAGTCTTCTAGGGTTACAAACATGACATATATATAACCCTATAGTACAATATATAATTACTTAAATTGCCCTTGTATCAAATCGCAGGGTATTGCCGCCGCACCCCCAACCCACATAATGAAACTCCCCCGATTGGACCGCTCCACTCCGCTCGTGGGCTCCGCTCCGCTCCAGCATCTCTCCCATTTATATTATATGAGCCATAACTAACAAATTCTTATTCATTTACATACTAACACCAAATGTTTGGTATTTACATATGACCCCTTGGATAAATTTTAACATAACAAAAAATATGCAAAAAAGTAGAAAAAAATTAAGGTTAAATTCTGGTCATGATAAATCTTAAAACTAATGAATTTATTTTCAAATGAATTCAATATAAATTTTAATTGATTATAATGCCCTTCAAATTTACTCCACATATCTTGATTCAAATTCCTTTTTCCCAAAAATAATAATGCTACAGCTTGTGGAATGAGTTATCTAAGAAAAAAAAAATTTACATACATATTACTCATTTCTTATGTATTTACATATCTAACACCTATGCATTCAATTTTACATATAGATGCCACATGGCCTACTTATCTATGCATGAAAATGTATATTTTACTTTTTATATTTTGATGAGAAATAAACTATTTGGGTGGTATAAATGTAAAAAGTAAAATTTTTGTACTGGATATGTAAATGCATGGTACTTGCATGGTACGTAAATACAGAGAAAGTAAACCGAAAGAGAGCCAAAGTTGTCCAAATGGCAAAAGTTGAATTGGACTTGCATGGTTATGTAAATACATAGAAAGTAAACTGAAATATGGCAGACGTTGAATTCAATTCGGCATGCACTATTTTAAGTGTATTGATGAATATAAACCCACTTGGTATTTCTAAAAGTAGCATATATTGATGTTATATGATGCGAGGATTCACATACATAAAACTCATAACTACTAAGATTGATGTTAGGGTCCATTACACCCAAAAAACATCGCATCCGCGGCCAAGAGGATCCCCACCAGCTCAATAAAGGAAGATTTTAGTCGCGACCAAGTTGGGCGCATGCGTTTCCGACGACAAGATCATCTAATGCAGTTTAACAGGGTATTAGACGGTATAAATATTGAAGTTTAGGTGTGAGATACGCAATTTTAATAGTTCTGCGTGCTATATAAAAAAAAATTAAAAAGACTTGGAGAATTCACTAAAGAAAAGGATCAATGATCTACTCCATCAAATAACAGAAAGCTTTAGCAATGATAACTATGGAAAATGAAAACCCAAAGGCAGGCCAAAGTTGCCTCTCTATTTTTTTTTTTTCTAGACATAGTTCTCTAGACATAGTTCTTTGCTATAAACATAGTTCTTTGCTATAAATTTATTTCTTTACTTTTTATTTTTTAAATTTCAAAACTATATATTTATTAAGAGATTTGATGGAGAAATATAGAGAATAAGAAAGATGTACATAGAATTATTGTTGATTTAGAAAAAAACTTATGATATTAATTCAAAAGAAGTGCTTCGGAGAGCTCTGGAAAAGAAATATATTGTCATTACTTATATTAAAGTTATTAAAGATATGTATACTAAAGCTGTTACTTTTATTTGAACACAATGATGATAGACCAAGTATTTTTATATTTTAGTTGAATTACATCAAGAAACGGATTTAATCTCATATATATTTTTTGCTTTAGTTATAGATGTTCCTAATGAACATTTACAGGAGGATGTTCCTTGTTGTATGCTTTTCCTCATTGTGGATAAGATTAGAGAGAGTTCAGGAAAAAAAGTTGATTTATTAGTAGATCCAATAGCAGGATTGCAACAATTGATGATCAAATCATTTAAAAGAGTGAACATTTAGATATCTTGGCCCTATTGTTCAAACTAATAGTGATATAAATTAAGATGTTGCCAGCAGAATTCAAGTTGAATGGTTGAAGTTGAGTAATAAATCAGGCTTATTGTTTCATAGAAAGTATTGCTTAGACTTGAAGGAAAAATGTATAAGATGTTAATGAGACCTTCCATGCTTTAGGGTGCAAAATGTTGGCCTGTAAAAGATGAGCATAAAATTAAGTGTTGTTGAGATGATAATGCTCAAATGAATGAGTTGCTTTACATTTAAAAACAAAATGTTAAACGATTGTAGTAGCTCCAATGATAAACAAAATTAAAGAGTCATTTTAAATGGTTTGATCACATTAAACATCAACCATTTAATGAACTTGTTAAGAGATTATATGTTTAAATTTGACTTATGAAAAGGTAAAGATAGACCTAAAAAGACTTGGACATTTTGTATAAAAAATAATCTTAACTTATTACAATTAAATAAAAATGTGACACTCAACACGACACAATCTAGAAAAAAACATTCATTCAGCTGACCCTAATCAGTCGGATAAAAAGCTTGATGTTATTGTTTGTTAATATCAAAGCTACAATAACCAATTAAACAATTTTGTATTAGTCTAAAATACTAATGCTCAAAACTGAAAACATTTACATTGCATGTTTAAGTAAAATGCTGCGATAATGATGATAATTTATTTTGTTCTTTTCAAATAGTTTTAATTAAAAATATTAAAAAATACAATTACTATATTTTAAAATATATTATAAATAAATGGTGATGTACTTTGTCAAATCAATAATAGAACGATTTAAACTAATTCAACTTTTTTTTTCATTTCTCAAATACAAAAATTTATTGGCCTAAAATATGTGTGTGCGTGTGTGCGTGTGGTAGAGGGGCGGATGGGAGTGCGTGCGTGCGTGCGTGCGGTAGACGGTGGAACATATATATTTTTTTCATTTCTCAAATACCAAACTTTATTGGTTTAAAATCTTTGTGTGCGTGCGTGCGGGTACAATCACCTATATTATATAATTCAACACTATACAAGTCAATGTACAGACCAGATAAGCTCAAAATCTCATTCAAACTAAATAGAAGCAAAAACTGTCAAATGATATACAATAAACTGTCTAGTAAGGAAAAGGGGAGCAACTCTGATACATCAACAATGTGACCACCGTACAACTTACTCCAAACTTGGCGCAGCCTCTGTCGGATTTCCCTCAAAGACATCGCCGTTGGATCCATCTGGTTGTTCGAGTAACTCTCGAGATTGGATCGACTCCTTATAGACAGTGGTTTGCTTAAAATCTGTAGCTCCTTCATTATAGGTTGTAACTGCAATCCCACAAGCAATGACCTGAAGAGAGGAACATGAGCTTGTTTGTTATAACAAGCAGCAGGCTAAAAATGTTGGGTAGATGTATGATATTGATATCAATTATAAAGACCAAATTAGACATAATAATGATTCTATAAAGCTAGTTAAGATATTTATCCCGGGGTTGTTAGAGAATACTTTTATTTTTGTGGTGGGAAGCTATTTTCTACAACCATGTGTTAAAAAATAAAGATTGCAAGAAATTTGTTGTCTGTCTTTTAATAAAAAGATGCATATTTATAATTACCACAGTAGTTTTCTAAGAGGTTGCTCTCCTCATCACAACCTCTAAATAAATAAAAAATATTTTATCAAAATTTGGATCCGGTTCGATTCATATCTTATTTGGGTTATGGTTTCCAAATGATGAAATCAAACATCGTTTTGTTTGGGTGTTAATTTCATCTAGAACTGAACCCAATTTGAAACATGTCGCACACCCTACCCGACATTAGGAAATCAAATCAATAGAGACAAGATGTTATCACACTCATGATAAATTTTCCTACAAAAAGGCTTAAAATTGAAAAAAATAATAAAGAAATACATTAAAAACTAACAAAAAGTTTATAAACGTGACCAAAAAAGAAATCTATTAAGTAGTTCTCCAAACTAAACTATAGTAAATCCAACATAAGCAAAAAGTTATCGGAAACAGACCCCAAGTCCGTTTAAACTAAGTTGAAAATTCTTTTCCATTCACCTTAAACACACACCCAAACAACAGAGACATTTTATTCGCATTAGGACCACAACTAACCCAATTAGATAAGAATCAGAGACATTTTATTCGCATTAGGACCACAACTAACCCAAACAACAGAGACATTTTATTCGCATTAGTTCAAGATGAAATTAGCACCCAAACAAACTGAAGTTTGATTCCATCATTTAGAACCACAACTAACCCAATTAGATAAGAATCAAACAGAATCCAAATTGATAAATTAAGTTTGACCGAGTGCAAAGTTAAGCTATTTGCTCATTTGCTTCAACAAAGTACATGAACAATAGTGAAGAACAAAAAAATGAATCATAAGATGACACGCAATTCGGATAGTAATATACAGACATGATCACATAAAATATGAATTTCAGAATTAAATACATATGATCATAATTAAATAGAGTTAATAATAACAATCATTCTGAAATTGAGAAAAATTTAGTTACAGCCACAAACCTTAATAAGAGAAACATTAGGCAATTGTTGTTCAATTTATATGATATGGCATAACTATGGATTAATATGTCTTATAAGTCTGTTAAAGGTTCTGAGTTTTTGGGTGATTTGATACTTCAAGAGTTTAGAACTAAATTTAGGATTACTTTGAATCAGACTAGGCTGATATTTTGCTACCCATACCAATTCACTTGTGACTCATAAATCTATACTAATTACTCAAGGCATGTAAATTGATTAGCTCTTATTCAGTTAAATTTTAAATTTTCAGATTCAATCTTGTGTGCATGCTAGACATGGAATTCCTTGAATTGACGTGCAGGGGCAAAGACAAGCAACCTTGAAGGAATGTTATCACATACATTGATAAAACCTGAACTTTCTTCACATTGGAAATTTTTTTCCTTTTATAAATTTCTTCCAAATGCTTTGTTATTATTTTACACGAGCATGATTTGGTCAAATTTAGTACGATTGGATTCTCAATTGCGTCAATTAAACTCAATCTTGTCAGTTTCTGTGATTCAAAGGTCCGTTGATTTTTTCGAATAAAATGTTCGTTGCGTTATCATTTGGTTTAGCCTTCATGTGTCCTCAAGTTTACCGCTTAAGAAATCAAAATTGTGTATAATTAATGGCCATTGGATTGTGATTCCTTCTTTCTTTTAAGTGATCTACATTCACAACATCACCTCAATTGAATTAGAAACCATAAATTCTTAAGCATTCAAAAGCACTTTGATATTAAAGCTTTAAGTTTTGCTAATGACTTAGGGCTTAACATCATGATGACATAACTGATGGTTAAAGAAATAAGATTCAGACCACTTTGTAAAATCAATTAAGGAAATAAGATTCAGACCACTTTGTAAAATCAATTAAAATCAAACGCGTGATGACATTAATATGGTCAGAATATGAAAATAGATATTGAAAACCAATCAAGTTCATGCACCTAATATTGAATTAGATTACAATCAAAATAGCCACGGTTTAAGAGAGTTCAAGACAAATGCCTCAAAGCACGACTCAAACTAAGGAGGACATAAAGCACCTCAATTCTTATGCCAAAATGTCAACAGTAAGACTTGTATCACTTCGACCAAAAATAGCATATTTGAGTAATTGGAACATTTTAATCTTTGGGTTTAGTGTTCTGAAGTTAGCTGCCTGAGATTTCATCTTTATTTTCAAGTTTAGTACAAGACGGGGTAAGAGCAGAAGGGCTCAAGACTCCGGTGTCATCTTCAAGCCAAGTGCAAGAGATGGTAGGACGAGCAACGAGCTTTTCGCGAATAACAAACTGTTTTAACAACCCTAGTCATGCAGTCGTATGATGTTAAGGGTGGGGGCAAAATTTAATATTTATTATTTATATTACAATATTCATTTAAATATAATTTAATTCATTTTTATTCTATCTTTTTATAAATAATTTTTTATAGATTATTGATCTTTATATCCTTGTAGTCAATTAAATTAGTTAAAAATAATACTCATCAATTATATATATATATATATATGTCGTCAGCCGTGACCTTTTGGCAGAACAACCTTTTTGAAGGTCGTAAGTCCCCTCAAGTCATGGGTTCGAATCTCACTCTGGTCAGTTTATTGATAGTAAGAATGGTCCTTGAATAGTTAGGCACATGAGAGTGGCTGGGGGCTAGTATAATAGCCTCAGTTCTTTTAACTATATATATATATATATATATATATATATATATATAACACACACTACAGCTGAACACGAGCTGATTGCGAACAAAGAGCTGTTTTGACAGCCCTAGAATCAATAAATCCCATTCAACGTAAATCAAAGAAGCTGCCAAACATGGGCTTCGTGAATCCACGTCCTACATGTAGCTAAACAACCTTAAAGAAAGAAGAATCCAATGAGTTCCAAAACCTATATCACTAATTCCAGCCGCTTCTCTAACAAATTTGGGGCAATTACCATTGCGAAATCCATAACCTAACTGCATAATATGCCAACGATAAGAAAAAAAAATCATACAGGTTAGGAAGAGTTACCCCAAAGACGATACCAAAAGCCCACAAATACTGCACGAAGAACCCTAGTGCATCCCACTGAGGCCCCTCCCAGAAATCCCGCTCCAATCCGGGAAGCGCCGGCGGAGGATCGGTCGAATACACTATATTTTCTCCTCCTCCTTCGCCTCCCAAGTCAATAGAAGAAACCCGCATCTCCTCCTCCTCCTTCAACATTAATCCATCTTCCGTATCACCGCGGCCTCTGCCGCGTTTCTCGGGCCTACGAGTGCGCGAGGCGAGACCCCTCCTCGCGAGCGCGATGTGCGCAGTCCTGCGAGATTGGTGGAAAGGAAACAGGGAAAGGGAAACTGAGGGTGAAGGAGGGAAAG